TACACCGTTCCACAGTTATTGTCTGGAAACTATAAAATGCTTATTTTTAGCCCCTTTTTGGCCCCTAATTCCTTAACTGTTGGTACCATAACCCCCAAAATCAATCCCAACCTTCCTTTTGTGGTATTTAACCTTATGGTCAAATTTCAAAAAGATCCATTCACTGAAACTAAAGTTAGAGTGCGAAAACCAATGTGTCTTCGGACGACGACGCCGGACGCCGGACGACAACGCCAACGTCATACCAATATACGACCACAAAATTTTTTGCGGTCGTATAAAAACTGCAAAATTTTCTTAAAATTACCAAATCAAGAGCAGCAACCCAACAACAGCTTGTCCGATTCATCTGAAAATTTCAGGGCAGATAGATCTTGACCTGATAAACAATTTTACCCTATGTCAGATTTGCTCTTAATGCTTTGGTTTCAGATATATAAGCCAAAATCTACATTTTACCCCTATGTTCTATTTTTAGCCATGGTGGCCATCTTGCTTGGTTGGTTGGCCGGGTCACTGGACACATTTTTTAAACTAGATACCCCAATGATGATTGTGGCCAAGTTTGGTTAAATTTGGCCAAGTAGTTTCAGAGGAGATTTTTGTAAAAGATTACAAAAATTTACGAAAAATGATTAAAAATTGACTATAAAGGGCAATAACTCCTTAAGGGGTCAAATAACCATTTTGGTCATGACAACTTATTTGTAGATTTTACTTTGCTGAACATTATTGCTGTTTACAGTTTATCTCTATCTATAATAATATTAAAGATAATAACCAATAAAATGCTCCGCAGGGCGCAGCTTGATACGACCGCAGAGGTCGAACCCTGAACAGTTGGGGCAAGTATGGACACAACATTCAAGCTAAATACAGCTTTGCATTTGGATTGTGATTAAATATCTGACACAGCATAGGTTTCTGACACAGAATAAATGTGGTCTAAGAACTTAAAAATTTTAAATTGGACATTCACTCATTATGGTCCAATATCCAAAATCTAAATACATGGTTAGATTCAGCATATCAAAGAACCCCAAGAATTCAATTTTTGATGAAATCAAACAAAGTTTAATTTTGGACCCTTTTGACCTCAATGTGGACAAAGTTGATAACGGGGCCCAAAAATCAAAAATCTAAATACATGGTTAGATTCAGCATATCAAAGAACCCCATATATTCAATTTTTGTTGAAATCAAACAAAGTTTAATTTTGGACCCTGATTTGGACCAACTTGAAAACTGGGCCCATAATCAAAAATCTAAATACATGTTTAGATTCAGCATATCAAAGAACCCTAAGAATTCAATTTTTGTTAAAATCAAACTAAGTTTAATTTTGGACCCTTTGGACCTTAATGTAGACCAATTTGAAAACGGAACCAAAAATTAAGAATCTAAATACACGGTTAGATTCGGCATATCAAAGAACCCCAATAATTCAATTTTTGATGAAATCAAACAAAGTTTAATTTTGGACCCTTTGGACCTCAATGTGGACCAATTTAAAAACGGGGCCCAAAATCCAAAAACTAAATACACGGTTAGATTCAGCATATTAAAGAACCCCAAGAATTCAAGAATAAAACCCCATTGAAATTGGTCAAGAAATAAGCAATTTATACGAAGTATCTTCTTTTGCACAATACTGTGCAAGTAAATATTTCTTGCTATTGCCCAATACTGTACAATTGACAATTTCTTGCTATTGTGCAATATTGTGCTATTGGATATTTCTTGCTATTGCGCAATACTGTGCAATTGAAGATTTCTTGCTATTGCGCAATACTGTGCAATTGAAGATTTCTTGCTATTGTGCAATACTGTGCAATTGAAAATTTCTTGCTATTGCACAATACTTATTATATAATAATTTACACATCCTGTTTGGTGTGTATCTCCTACCATATCATTATTATTTGCTTTTAAATATAAATCAGAAATAACCAACTTAAAATGGAAAATTTTAAAAGAAAAAAAAAGGAAAAAAAGAAAAAAAAGGAAAAAAAAAAAATCCCCCCCCCAAATTTTTTGAACCCCCTTATGATTCATCACCCCCAAACTCAATCCCAGCCTTCCCTTTGTGGTATGGTACCTTGCAGTACAATTTCAGAGAGATCCATACACTTGAACACAAGTTATTGTCTGGAAACTAGAAAAATGTGTTTTTAGGCCCCTTTATGGCCCCAAATTCCTAAACCTTTAGGGCAATTACCCCAAACTCAAACCCAGCTTTCCCTTTGTGATATGGAACCTTGTAGTACAATTTCAGAAAGATCCATACACTTACACACAAGTAATTGTCCTGAAACTAGAAAAATGTTAGTTTTTTGCCCCTTTTTGGCCCCTAATTCCTTAAATATTGAGGCAATTACCCCCATCATCAATCCCAGCCTTCCCTTTGTGGTATGGTACCTTGCAGTACAATTTCAGAGAGATCCATACACTTGAACACAAGTTATTGTCTGGAAACTACAAAAATGCTTATTTTTGGCCCCTTTTTGGCCCCCAATTCCTAAACGTTTCGGCAATTACCCCCAAACTCAATTCCAGCTTTCCCTTTGTGATATGGAACCTTGCAGTACAATTTCAGAAAGATCCACACACTTACACACAAGTTATTGTCATGAAACTAGAAAAATGCTTGTTTTTTGCCCCTTTTTTGGCCCCTAATTCCTAAAATTTTGAGGCAATTACCCCCAAAATCAATCCCAGCATTCCTTTTGTGATATGGAACCTTGTGGTACAATGTCAGAGAGATCTTTACACTAACACACAAGTTATGTCTGGAAGTTACAAAAATGCTTATTTTTGGCCCTTAATTCCTTTACTGTTGGTACCATAATCCCCAAAATCATTCCCAACCTTCCTTTTGTGGTATTGAACCTTGTGGTAAAATTTTATAGAGATCCATTCATTTAAACTAAAGTTAGAGTGCGAAAACCAATGTGTCTTCGGACGACGCCAGACGACGACGACGACGCCAACGTCATACCAATATACGACCACAAAAATTTTTTTGCGGTCGTATAAAAACTGCAAAATTTTCTTAAAATTACCAAATCAGGGGCAGCAACCCAACAACGGCTTGTCCGATTCATCTGAAAATTTCAGGGCAGATAGATCTTGACCTGATAAACAATTTTACCCCATGTCAGATTTGCTCTAAATGATTTGGTTTCTACATTTTACCCCTATGTTCTATTTTTAGCCATGGCGGCCATCTTGGTTGGTTGGCCGGGTCACTGGACACATTTTTTAAACTAGATACCCCAATGATGATTGTGGCCAACTTTGGTTAAATTTGGCCAGGTATTTTCAGAGTAGAAGATTTTTGTAAAAGTTAACGACGACATCGGAAGCCAAGTGATGAGAAAAGCTCACTTGACCCTTTGGGCCAGGTGAGCTAAAAATGCTTATTTATGGCCCCTAATTCCTTAACTGTTGGTACCATAAATCCCAAAATCAATCCCAACCTTACTTTTGTGGTATTGAGCCTTATGGTAAAATTTCATAGAGATTCATTCACTTAAACTAAAGTTATTGTGCGAAAACCAATGCGTCTTCGGACGACGACAACGCCGCCGACAATGCCGCCGTCGACGCCGCCGCCAACGTCATACCAATATACGACCTCAAAAATTTTTTGCTGTCGTATAATTAATTCAGGTCATCTTCAGATCTTTGATTTTAACTAGTAAGAGCCACTGTATAAACATATTGAGATGTGGTATGATTGCCAATGAGACAAATATCCACCAGAGGACATGGACATGGACATAAGCAACTTAAGGTCACCATATGTCCTTTAACAATGAGCAACACCCATATTGTGGACATTTTAATGGTAGGTTATAAACATCAAATTAAGAACACACAGTTCACTATAATGCATATATATGCCTAAGGTATCAATTCATTAAGTAGGTTGTCCAGAAGTTTAAAGTATGAGATTCTGATGTACAAGTGGCAGAGAAATGCAAATTAATTACAACTTTTTTGTCTGATGAGCTATCCTGTGATGATTACCTTAGTTTCTTAATAATTTAATTTAATTTAGGATTGCATACCATGCTCAACAGAGGCACACATTTCAAAATTTTGAAACAACAGTTAAGAGTTGTGTATTAACACGATAAACAATTGCATCATTTGCTTCTATAAAATAAAAATATGAAAGTGGTGTTAAAACACCAATCAATCAATCAATCTACAAAATACATACTCCTGTTTGTTAATATTGAAAAAAAAAAAATTTAAAGGGACCTTAAAGTAAATATAAAGTTTCTAGTAACTGCTATATATTATAGCAATATGGCAATTTACCAAGAATATACAATAAAGGTGACTTAAGGAAATTCGCTACTCAGTTTCAAAATAACTAGCTTTTCATAACACCAGTATATATTGATGGGGGATTAATAAAGGAACCAAAAGAGCGAGAAAAAAAAATATAGGTCCATGTGCTTGTTTTCGAGATATTAGCCATTGAAATTTTGACAAGTTTAAGTTCTCAAAAACTATTAAAAAATAAAAAAGATTTTATAAGACTTTTACATATGGCTTATAATTATATATGTAAAAGATTTATAAAAAGAAAACTGGGGGTTAGTGTGCAAAATTTTTTAAGGCATTCAAATGGATAAACCAGAGGATTCTGAAATCTGACAAAAATTCCAAAAACATGACAGGCGAACATCCTTAAATTGATTTTGAACAAATGTGTGTCTCTTAAAAGCAAGACTTGTTTTGCCTACAAAATTGGTAAAGTTCATGTTTAGGAATGAGAAACACCAAAAATCATTCAGATCAAAAATTAATATAGCAGTTGCACAATTTAATTTTTCATGAATTGAGGTAGTTTGGTGGAATTCTGTGAAAGCCTTTTTCAAAGACTTGATGATTAGCAGAGTATGATCAGACGACACAAGACAACAAAGGTGATCTGTATGTGTCGATACAGCTTTGACAGTTGACTGAGTAATGAAATAATAATCTTACACAAATTATATCTTTATTTAACTTAAACCTCTTAAATTCAGTCTTGTATAAGATTGACATACATAAGAGATAAAATTCATAACTAAAATAATTGAAACTTGAAAGTTTCCAAATTTGGCATTCTACAATACAACAATCCTTCTGCCTGAAGCAATGTCCAAAACTGGAATATCAGATAAATCTAAAGTCATGTTTTTCCAAAACTAGAATATCAGATAAATCTAAAGTCATGTTTGTCCAAAACTGGAATATTAGATAAATCTTAATAGTCATGTTTGTCCAAAACTAGAATATCAGATAAATCTAAATAGTCATGTTTGTCCAAAACTGGAATATCAGATAAATCTAAATAGTCATGTTTTTCCAAAACTAGAATATCAGATAAATCTAAATAGTCATGTTTGTCCAAAACTAGAATATCAGATAAATCTAAATAGTCATGTTTGTCCAAAACTAGAATATCAGATAAATCTAAATACTGTAGAAACATTAATTTTTTGTGGGGTCAAAATTTCGTGGTTTTGTCTCTATATAAGATTTCATGGGGATTTAATTTCGTGGTTTCCAGTATTTGGAAGTGATCTTATATTTAGGTTAAATTTTCGAGGGGGTTTTAATTTCGTGGATATATTCTTTCCACGAAATAAACGAAATTATATCCTCCACAAAAATTTCTGCTTTTACAGTAGTCATGTTTGTCCAAAACTGGAATATCAGATAAATCTTAATCGTTATGTTGAAATTTTGAATTTCATAAAGGTATTTCTCTTATCTGTTTTTACTTGGCCATTTTATTTTCTGGTAAAGTATATGGCTAACATGACACATGTCTTTGAAAAATCCAGGTTTGTTTTTCCTAAACTATACCTTTTTCATAGGATGTTATACATAAATAGAAAATCACTAGAACAGAAAATAAACTTGCAAAAGCAGAAGGAGTGTTGCATTACAATAACTAATTAGATTTATTAAATGTCTCAATTACTGTGAATATCTAAAAACCTTTTACTGGTTCAGTTGCAAATATCCATTACATAAACTTTCCTACATTCTCATTCAGATTTATAAAACAAAACTGATTAATGTGGAATTCATTACATTTTACTGATTTTTTATGAACTGTGTCTATGCTGAAAAAAAAGGAAAATGTGATAACAATTGATAAGGCTAAAAAATCAATCATCCTTCTGCGAGTTTGTAATGGTCTATTCTTCATACAAAACTGTCCTTTCAGTTTCAACAAAAAATTTGTGACAGATTAGGTTTAATAGACAATACAAATTTTAGTCTGAAATAGATTTTAAGCAAATTTGACTTTAAGTATTAAAAAGGTTTCTGGGTATGGACAGTAAAAGAAATACAGACTATTATTTCTTGTGCTTATCTAATATAAAATGGGGTACAAATCTGACAATTTTATGAAGATACCTTAAATTGATGCTAAAATAAATGGCACTACATAAAATTAAGAATTTATTAGGATTTTCTGAGTACAGAACATGATTCATTAACCATACAATGACAACATGTGAAATCAGTAACATGTTTTAATGATCACTCATCACGGAATCTCTCGGAAGCTAAAGCTAGCACTTAATTATCCCCCTTTACGGTGGTAGCACTGTAGCAATCACATGGTCCTGAGTCCAATGTTTATCACAGAAACATTTATTTGACACATTTCTCAATTTCTTGCAGAGGATGCTGAACCTGGTGCTATTGACATCTCTCCACCTTGGCCTCCATCTCTGGGCGGACTCTGAATTAAAAAAATCTGTAAAGTTGTTGATATATAATTATTCAAAAAAATCTGCATCTCATATGACCCCAGTCTTCTACTTCTATATACATATGCTGGGTGATGTGGTAACTGATTTTCATATTGTAGGACAACAATTTACCTTTTTGATGCACATGTTCTCAAAGCTTTTCAGGAAAGTAGGATATCATTTGAGTCAAAATTCATGTCAACATTATTTATGATTCATCATAGGTTTGCACCTAAATGTGCATTTAATCTTAATTTAAACTGATTACTATCAAACTGTACATCACATTCTGCAGAAAAAAAACTTCTTTGAACATAGAAAATGGTTGTTACTATGTGTTTCTTAAAAGAAATCTTTATGCAAAATACGGGGTTATGGCCTGCTCCAAAATTTGTGAGAACAAATTTGAAACTCTAGTGACTAAGCATATTTATCCAGCGTGTTACTGACTTCTTTTTAAAGGATGAGGTATGATAAAGGCAATTATTTGGCACCTGAAGTTGCAAAAAAAGTCTAATTATTCAAGCCTTTCAAAACTATGTTAATTTTAATGATAAATGAACAGGCCCATGTAATCTGGACATTTTAGTGCAGATTGTCACCTGTGATGTCACTATGACAAAATAAACATGTAGATGTTGACATATTTGACCTAAAATGGCCATTATACATTTAGTGTTTGGTCAAAATATATACGAGACAATGCCTTATCTAAAAAGATATATTACACACATTAAGATGTTTTGTAGCAAAATATGTTTTTGGGTAAAGCCTTGGCTCATATCTAAATATTAATGACAAGATCTCAAAATGATTCTATGTTGACAATTTTAGCAGTTTTGCACAACACAAAACAATTTGAAGCCCAATTGCTAATTGGAAAGACAAACTGTAAATATTTGTGAGTTGTGTTTGTAATGTAAAATAGTATAAAAGACAAAAGAAAATTAGCAAAACTGTACTTTCTGTCAGCTTTCCATCATTTCACTCAACTTTCTAACTGCTCAGCATTGTATAGTTGTACTTACTTTAACATGAACCTGGTTTTTCAGTATAGCTGATCGTAAAATCAAAGCCTGAAAAAAAATTAAAACAGAAATACAGTGTATCAGCATCACTTGATGTCCATATGCAACTGATAAATTGTCCTTGACACAAATCACTGGACAAAATAAAACCTAGGAAAAAGTAGCAAGAATACCTTATTGAAATTTTACAGACTAAACTTATTTGGCCTCTCATTACTTCTAAAAATGAGAATAATCAAAGTGCTTTTGAGTGCTTGTGAGCACTGAAGGATAAAGATTGCTTTCATTTTGCAATTTTGGGAAATTAAAATAAAACATGGAATTGTAGTTAGCAAAGGCAAATTATAAATTTGAGTTGGAGTTATCTTCCTTTGTTTGTAGTTTAACCTATTTTTAAAACAGATTCATAGTATGTAATTTTTTATAAGTATGGTGATTCAAATATGCATCATATTGTAACTTTAATATCTAAGTATAACATATCATTAACAAATTGCATGACATTGACTGGATAGGATATAAAGAATGATCAATTCACTGCACTATTTTGTTTGAACTTTCAGGGGTAGTGATAAACCTTGGGAAGTTAAAGATACCAATTCAGTACCATAAGGGTTACCCCAAAAACCAGATCATAAAAGTTTGACATGATTCACTTGATATAATACATCCAAAAACAGATGACACTAGTCAAAATGACATCTGTAATGTCTTTTGTTTATGTTTTGTTATATTTTCTTGTTGGTTTGCTTTCTCACTTAAATGTATATCCTACAATCCTTTTTTTTAATATGAACAATTCACAAAGTGAAAGTACATCCTAAAACATACAATACTTATGGCAATGCATAAACTAACTTAATCAAAACAAAATTTAACTCGGAGAAATGCCTTGTCTGTGTAACTAATCAGATCAATTATTATTGGTTTTCAGTCAAACTGCTGTATTCAACTTACAATAAGTGCTATACAAGAGACTGGAACTAAGAAGTATAGAAACTGAACGAATCACTGTTACGGATGCTTTGTAAAGACAGAAATTTGGGTAACAATCTTTCATGTATAGCATGAAGCAGTAAGACAATTAAAAGTTTTGTATAAAGCCAAACTAACTAATATCAAGTGTACCAGTAAGAGAGTTGAAACTTGTGTATAAGGCCATAGAAAATAATAAATAAAAATAAACCTTTTCAAGGCATCAACTTTCATAGTGAAGACACAAAAGAAAATTTGAGAAAATAAATGGGGAATGTGTCGACACGGATGATGCCCCCGCTTGCATATAACGTTATAAAGGGATATAACTCAAGAACTGTAAAAAAGACGCTACCCAAATTTGTACTTGATCTGAGTTTTGTGGTAATAAGCATTGTGCATAAGTTTCATAACATTTGGTTGAGGCAAACTAAAGTTAGAGAACAGAAACAAATATTTCAGGAATTTTTCCATTTGTAAAGAGGCATAACTCTAGAACGGTAAAAGTGACGCCACCAAAATAAACTTGATTTGTGTTTTGTGGTAATAAGCATTCTGTATAAGTTTCATAACATTTGGTTGAGGCAAACTAAAGTTGGAAAATGGAAACGAAAAATTCAGCAATTTTTCCATTTGTAAAGGGGCATAACTCTAGAACGGTAAAAGTGATGCCACCAGAATTAAAACTTGATCTGTGTTTTGTGGTAATAAGCATTGTGCATAAGTTTCATAACATTTGGTTGAGGCAAACTAAAGTTTAAGAACAGAAACGAAAAATTCAGCAATTTTTCCATTTGTAAAGGGGCATAACTATAGAACGGTAAAAGTGACGCCACCAAAATTCAAACTTGATCTGTGTTTTGTGGTAATAAACATTGTGTATAGGTTTCATAACATTTGGTTTAGGCAAACTAAATTTAGAGAACGGAAACCAATTTTGGGACGCACGTACGTACAGGTACAGACGGACAAGGGTAAAACTTAATGCCCTCTTCGCTACGGCGGGGGCATAAAAATGTAAAAACTTGTTCCTATTTCAGCCCATTGTAAAAACCCAGCTTGTCACATTCAACTTTTATAATAAGAACTGTCATGAAAATTTCCTATGTTATAACATCTATCTGTAGTAATCAGTTCAAGGCACTTTAGATATATATAGAACTCAAAAAGTTTAAAGCATCTATAACAGAATTACAAATTTTTGGAGTACAAAGAGACTGAAAAATGGTCCTGATTAAAACAAAACCCTAATTGCTTTGTAAAAATATCCTGTGACAAATATTTCATTTCTGGGGCCTTCAAACTAGTCTAACCTCGCCACATTCTGTATGTTCCTGTCCCAAGTCAGGAGCCTGTAATTCAGTGGTTGTCGTTTGAATTGTTTTACATATGTCATTTTGGGGCCTTTTATAGCTGACTATGCTGTATGGATTTTGCTCATTGTTGAAGGCTGTACAGTAACCTTTAGTTGTTAATTTCTATGTTATTTAGTGTCTTGTGGAGAGTTGTCTCATTGGCAATCAAACCACATCTTCTTATTTTATATAGTCAGGATGAATCATGATGTCATATCAATATATCATGCTTTGAACCAGTCCAACAAACTAACACAGATCTTGAATAAGCTAGGTCAGTCAACATATAGACATACAACCCTATCACAAAATATATGTATATTTACATTTCTGAGTCTAAGCCAACCAGTCTTTGTTAGAACTCCTAAGTGCTGTGTGCTAAGCAGACAAGCAGCAAATAACAATTTAAAGTCTTGAGTTTGTATTGGTCAGGAATCAAAGTTCTGATATTGACTACTGAATAGAACAAAATGTTGGACAAATCCTTCTCACTTTCCTTCTGGAGTGTCAGATCAAATATCTGCTATTAGCTTAATTTTAATGACTTACAGTCAAATATGCTTTTTTCAACTGATTTATTTTGTTTTTACAATGAGAAGTGTTTGCTTTAAATTAAAAATGCAATAAGTTAATTTTACCTTAACCAATTCAATAAATTTCCCCCAACCAACTCCTTTTTGAATTTAGCCAAAGCGGAACATTCAATACTGCTTTGCCGTAACTAATAGAATTAATACCTTTGTTCTTCGTTGATATTCTTTACCCATAGCTAAAGACTTTTCGAATGTACTACTTCGCTGATCAGTATCTTTGGCATATAGAATCTAAAATCAAATTCAAATCAATGATTAACACATACTCTATTTAAGTAAAGTACATTTTTTTACACAAAATATACCTCCAAACTCTAAACATTATCATTAAAACTTACCCATATTTAATTCATGTATAAAACCTATATATTAAAGGCATGTTGTTTTTCAAACTCTGTTTTTTTCTAATGTTCTTGAAAATTCAGATCTGCCAACAAAAGGGGCAATAACATAGATCATTGTGACAAACCTTAAGATGATTATATAATCAATATCCTAACATTTACCTCATTAAATTGCATTAGTGAGACTTGATTAAAATAATAGTCTCATGCATTTCTCTGGATTTCCCTTCATCAGGAATGCTCAAAGGCGAATATTTGAAATTTGTATTTTTATTTGTGTTTGTTTAGTTATACAATACACTTAAGAAGGCCTTAATTTAAAACATTGTAATTTTTGTATTCAGGCAAATTAATCAATGAGAGATGGATTTCTCTTAGAAGAAATTTAAAGGTCCCAGTTTATAAACTACACATAGAACAATATTATTGTATTTATTCAATGGGACAATAGAACTGACAAAAGTTTGAATACCTTGACCAAGAGGAAATGACTCTGTTGAAAAGTTTCATTTGGTTCGCAATAACTTGCCATCACCAGTTAGACTTCTCTATCCAAGTATTAACCTGTCATCACAAGTTAGACTTCTCTATCTAAGTATTAACCTGTCATCACAAGTTAGACTTACCTTATTATGTGACTCTTATCTAAGCATAAACCTGTCATCACAAGTTAGACTTCTCTATCTTAAGTATTAACCTGGCATCACAAGTCAGACTTACTTTATTATGTGAATCTATCCTAGCATTTATCTGACCATCTAATATTAATTGCATCAATTCATCTTCTAAATCAGTAATAGTTGTATTGAATGCCTCTGCCATCTTCCTCATGTCAGCTGATAAATATGGACTAAAATACTGAAAATAAATGAAAGTCATAATAATTATTACTAAATAATTTACTTTTCTATAATTTTAATAATACTTGGATTTTTAATAATAACACTATCAACAGTTACATAATTCAACTGCACTTTCTACATTAATTAATATTTTGTTAAGTATTTTCCTTTAAATGATTCTCTTAATTTAGATCATTTAAATCATTTCTACATCTTTTGTCTTGTGAATCTTTTAGATGATTGGATAGGCTAACATAATCTTAGTAATTGAATTCATCAATGTGGAACAATAACTGACCTTTGAAGGGAATGGTAGAACTCATATACCAGTAATCCTGTGTTCTCTTTGTTGTATTTGTTTTGTGTCTTTAATGTTATTGTTTTGGTGTTTTGTTTTGGAAAAGATTTTCAATCTATTTTCATAACCATTGTCATTTAGTTTCTTATGCTCTCCAATTGGTGTAAGCTACGTTTATTATTGCAGACAATTGAGTGTGCTTCAATTGTTGTGTTGTTGTATAAAGGTTATATATTTGGAATATTTTCTTAAGTGTATATACCAAATATCATTCTATTTTTCAAATATCAAATAATAATAAAGTCTTTCATCGAAATTTTTTTCGTAAGTGGGATTCCTTTAAAATTATTGAGGTCCAAAGCAGGAAGTATTAAAATCGTCATCTTAAACATTTAACAGAGAAACAAGTTTTACTATTTGGTCTGTTTATCAGGATATTTGTTCACTTTACATATGCATGCACTATGCTTCAAATAATAAATGTAACTTTTGCAATTTAGATTCTATTCTTATGTCTTATTTCACCTTATTGAGGGCCTCAGGGAAGATAAGTTCATAGCTTACTGTGTAACCCTCTTTAAATGAAAGAAACTTAGTGAGCGCGCTCACATACCCCACGTCCCTAAATTGTCATTGGAGAAATAAAATAAGTGTAAGAAAAAAAAATTGTATCAGAAAAAAAAAAATTGAATCATAATTTCCTGTAAATATGCACATCTACATAGTATGTCCTTATTATCTGAAAAGGTTTCATGAAATTCTGTAGTGTGGTTTGAGAGGAGTTGCGATGACAAAAGGTTGCAGTAGTATATTGGGCAAATAAGTTCAAAGGGGCGTAACTCCTGGAAAAAAAATTGAATCGTAATTTCCTGTCAATATGCATAACTACATTGTATGTCCTTATTATCTGAAAAGGTTTCATGAAATTCTGTTGTGTGGTTTGAGAGGAGTTGCGATGACAAAAGGTTGCAGTAGTATATTGGGCAAATAAGTTCAAAGGGGCGTAACTCCTAGAAAAAAAATTGAATCGTAATTTCCTGTCAATATGCATAACTACATAGTATGTCCTTATTATCTGAAAAGGTTTCATGAAATTCTGTTGTGTGGTTTGAGAGGAGTTGCGATGACAAAAGGTTGCAGTAGTATATTGGGCAAATAAGTTCAAAGGGGCATAACTCCTAGAAAAACAAGAGTGCACACGCTAAAATGTCTCGCCTTCTTTACTAATCATTGATATTATGTTGATAGTCCTAAATATAAAGCTTTATTACAACTGTCACATAAACTTAACATTAACCAAGTAAACTAAACATTGACCAATGAACCATGAAAATGAGGTCAAGGTCAGATGAACCATGCTAGGCAGGCATGTACAGCTAACAATTCTTCCATACAACAAATATAGTTGACCTATTGCTTATAGTTTAAGAAAAACAGACCAAAACACAAAAACTTAACACTGAGCAATGAACCTTGAAAATGAGGTCAAGGTCAAATAAAACCTGCGTGACTGCCAAATAGATCATAAAATATTTCCATACACCAAATATAGTTGAACTATTGCACATAGTATTAGAAACAAAGACCAAAACTCAAAAAACTTAACTTTGACCACTGAACCATGAAAATGAGGTCATGGTCAGATGACACCTGCCTGCTAGACATGTACACCTTACAATCATTCCATACACCAAATATAGTAGACCTATTGCATACAGTATAAGAAAAACAGACCAAAACACAAAAACTTAACTATAACCACTGAACCATGAAAATGAGGTCAAGGTCAGATGACACCTGCCAGTTGGACATGTACACCTTACAGTCCTTCCATACACCGAATATACAAGACCTATTGCTTATAGTATCTGAGATATGGACTTGACCACCAAAACTTAACCTTGTTCACTGATCCATAAAATGAGGTCGAGGTCAAGTGAAAACTGTCTGACGGGCATGAGGACCTTGCAAGGTACGCACATACCAAATATAGTTGAACTATTGCATATAGTATTAGAAAAAAAGACCAAAACTCAAAAACTTAACTTTGACCACTGAACCATGAAAATAAGGTCAAGGTCAGATGACACCTGCCCGCTAGACATGTACACCTTACAATCATTCCATACACCAAATAAAGTAGACCTATGGCATACAGTATAAGAAAAACAGACCAAAACACAAAAACTTAACTATAACCACTGAACCATGAAAATGAGGTCAAGGTCAGATGACACCTGCCAGTTGGACATGTACACCTTACAGTCCTTCCATACACCGAATATACAAGACCTATTGCTTATAGTATCTGAGATATGGACTTGACCACCAAAACTTAACCTTGTTCACTGATCCATAAAATGAGGTCGAGGTCAAGTGAAAACTGTCTGACGGGCATGAGGACCTTGCAAGGTACGCACATACCAAATACAGTTGAACTATTGCATATAGTATTAGAAAAAAAGACCAAAACTCAAAAACTTAACTTTGACCACTGAACCATGAAAATAAGGTCAAGGTCAGATGACACCTGCCCGCTAGACATGTACACCTTACAATCATTCCATACACCAAATAAAGTAGTCCTATGGCATACAGTATAAGAAAAACAGACCAAAACACAAAAACTTAACTATAACCACTGAACCATGAAAATGAGGTCAAGGTCAGATGACACCTGCCAGTTGGACATGTACACCTTACAGTCCTTCCATACACCGAATATACAAGACCTATTGCTTATAGTATCTGAGATATGGACTTGACCACCAAAACTTAACCTTGTTCACTGATCCATGAAATGAGGTTGAGGTCAAGTGAAAACTGTCTGACGGGCATGAGGACCTTGCAAGGTACGCACATACCAAATATAATTATCCTATTACTTATAATAAGAGAGAATCTAACATTACAAAAAATCTGAACTTTTTTTTCAAGTAGTCACTGAACCATGAAAATGAGGTCAAGGACATTGGACATGTGACTGACGGAAACTTCGTAACATGAGGCATCCATATATAAAGTATGAAGCATCCAGACCTTCCACCTTCTAAAATATAAAGCTTTTAAGAAGTTAGCTAACGCCGCCGCCGCCGGATCACTATCCCTATGTCGAGCTTTCTGCGACAAAAGTCGCAGGCTCGACAAAAATTGAATCGTAATTTCCTGTCAATATGCATAACTACATAGTATGTCCTTATTATCTAAAAAGGTTTCGTGAAATTCTGTTGTGTGGTTTGAGAGGAGTTGCGATGACAAGAAATAGGACTGACGGACTGACGGACGGACGGACGGACGGACAGACGGAATGGTCAAAAACATTATACCCTCCGCAACTCGTTGCGTGGGGGTATAATAAAGAATTATTATCATTATTATTATTATATCACCTCTTACAATCAAGGGTATATCATGACAGAATCTATATTATGTCCTACCTGACATAAAGCTCTGTTTCGTATCTGTGTGTACAGTGTATTCACATGGGATGCTAGGTACATATCTAGTAGTAACGTATCCTGCAAAACAAAACACAAAAAAAACATAGTATTTTATCAGTATGGCATCCTTCAATGTCCTGCTTTTGAAAACTATGTTTACGATTTATCAAGCCAAGAATTGGAGGACTAAATATGAAATATATAACTAACATGGGGATCACCCTCTTCAATCTTCAGCAAAGCTATTGGTATAACAAATAAACTGTTGACACAGCAATATATCTGTAAGTAATTTTGGTGGTTAAATGCAAATGTTGAAATTAAAAGGGCAATACTTTAATTATTAAAATGAGCATTTTTTAAAATCAATATTTAGAACAGCAATTATAACAGAATAATCATGATGGATGAATCTTTTCTTACAACAGCAATTGATTCATGCATTTTTGCTTCTATAACATGGTAACGTCATAAAAGTTTATTTATAGCTTTATACAAGAACTGGTTCACCATGTTCACTAAGTAAGACTTTCCAATTTGCTAACTTGTGAGTCCCCCTATATGGACATATTATTCTGACTTCTAGTCAACCAATCTTTTCTCTTACTTTTATTAATTAAATGATGTTTGCTTATCAACAGAGCAGAAATACCAATCTTATATCTATGGTTTGACTTAGCAGTGTATCAACCACCCCCTTCCATTATAGAGGTGTTGGCAGTTGATAGAATTAAAACCAGCATGCAGTATGCAGCTCATTATCCAAGTAAATAAAAATAAATAATTTTGCTTACCTTTATTTCAGTTAAAAGTCGTAAACACTGTGCATAACTAGATTCATAAAATTTGTGTATAATATCTCTAAGCTGTGGCTCTAATTCTAAGAACAATTTAAATGAACTGGAAAAAAAAAACAACATATTTAATATAACATTTTTAACATTTTTGTTTTGTTTTGTTCTCCTGCAATGAATGAATGAATCTTAACTATTTCAATAAAATGCTTTGCTGAGCGCAACCTGATACGACCGCAGTGGTCGAACCCTGAACAGTTGGGGCAAATTTGGACACAATATTCAAGCTTGATACTGTCTGAATTTGGATTGTGATCAAATTTTTTTTACATAATACAGGTTTCTTACACAAAATAAATGTGGTCAAAGATCTTACAAATTTAATGTGCAATACTGTGCAATTGAAGATTTCTTCTTGAAACTTTTATAAAATTTGAAATTTTGAAAATTTTGAAAAAAAAATATGAACCCTTTTAAAATAAATGTGGATAGTGTCCACATGTGGACACATATGATGCCCCCGCTTGCATATCATATAGTTATAAAGGGACATAACTGAAGAACAGTAAAAGTGACGCTACCCAAATTTGAACTTGATCTGAGTTTTGTGGTAATAAGCATTGTGTGTAAGTCTCATAACATTTGGTTGAGGCTAACTTAAGTAGAGAACAGAAACTAAAAATTCAGCATTTTTTCTATTTGTTAACATGCATAACTCTTGAACGGTTGTGTATAAGTTTTATAACATTTGGTTGAGACAAACTAAAGTTAGAGAACGGAAACGAAAAATTCAGCAATTTTTATGTTTATAAAGGGACATAACTCAAGAATGGTTAAAGTGTCGCCACCAAATTTCGTACTTAATCTGTATTATGTAGTAATAAGCATTGTGTATAAGTTTCATAACATTTGGTTGAGGCAAACTAAAGTTAGAAAACGGAAACAAAAAATTTGTACTTGATCTTAGTTTTGTGGTAATGAATATTGTGTATAGGTTTCATAATGTTTGGTTGGGGCAAACTTAAGTTATAGAATGGAAACTAAAAATTTTGCAATCTCTCGATTTATAAAGGGGCATAACTCAATAATGGTTAAAGTGACACTACCCAAATTCAACTTGATGTGTTTTATCAGTGGAAGTCAAAATTAAACATTGCATTGTATAAAGCATTGATTGTAGTTGATTCAACTATAATCATGGACAAAGGAAGATAACTCCAATTTTAATAAAATGCTCCGCTGGGGCGTAGCTTGATACAACCGCAGAGGTCGAACCCTGAACAGTTGGGGCAAGTATGGACACAACATTCAAGCTTGATACAGCACTGAATTTGGATTGTAATTAAATATTTGACACAGCATAGGTTTCTCACACAGAATGAAAGTGGTCTAAGAACTTAAAATTTTTTAATTTACCTATTCAAACCATATCATTATTATTTGCTTTTATATATAAATCAGAAATAACCAATTTAAAATGGTAAATTTAAAAGAAAAAAAGGGAAAAAAAAAAAAACCCAATTTTTTGAACCCCCTTATGATTCATCACCCCAAAACTCAATCACAGCTTTCCCTTTGTGGTATGGTACCTTGCAGTACAATTTCAGAGAGATCCATACACTTGAACACAAGTTATTGTCTGGAAACTAGAAAAATGCTTGTTTTTCTGACCCTATTTGGCTACAAATTCCTAAACGTTTAGGGCAATTACCTCCAAACTCAAACCCAGCTTTCCCTTTGTGATATGGAACCTTGTAGTACAATTTCATAAAGATCCATAAACTTACACACAAGTTATTGTCCTGAAACTAGAAAAATGCTTGTTTTTTTACCCTTTTATGGCCCCTAATTACTAAAATTTTGAGAGAATTACCCCCAAAATCAATCCCAGCCTTCCCTTTGTGGTATGGTACCTTGCAGTACAATTTCAGAGAGATCCATACATTTGAACACATGTTATTGTCTGGAAACTAGAAAAATGCTTATTTTTGGCCCCTTTTTCCTAAACTTTTTGGGCAATTACCCCCAAACTCAATTCCAGCTTTCCCTTTGTGATATGGAACCTTGTAGTACAATTTCATAAAGATCCATACACTTACACACAAGTTATTGTCATGAAACTAGAAAAATGCTTGTTTTTTCCCCTTTTTGGCCCCCAATTCCTAAAATTTGGAGGTAATAACCCCCAAAATCAATCCCAGCATTCCCTTTGTGATATGGAACCTTGTGATACAATGTCAGAGAGATCCATACACTTACACACAAGTTATTGTCATGAAACTAGAAAATGCTTGTTTTTTGCCCCTTTTTGGTCCCTAATTCCTAAAATTTGGAGGCAATTACCCCCAAAATCAATCCCAGCATTCCCTTTGTGATATGGAACCTTGTGATACAATGTCAGAGAGATCCATACACTTACACACAAGTTATTGTCATGAAACTAGAAAAATGCTTGTTTTTTGCCCCTTTTTGGTCCCTAATTCCTAAAATTTGGAGGCAATTACCCCCAAAATCAATCCCAGCATTCCCTTTGTGGTACAATGTCAGAGAGATCCATACACTTACACACAAGTTATGTCTGGAATTTACAAAAATGCTTATTTTTGGCCCCTAATTCCTTAACTGTGGGTACCATAACCCCCAAAATCAATCCCCACCTTCCTTTTGTGGTATTGAACCTTATGGTAAAATTTCATTGAGATCCATTCACTTAAACTAAAGTTAGAGTGTGAAAACTAATGTGTCTTCGGACGACGACAACGCCGGACGACGACGACGACGCCATTGTCATACCAATATACGACCGAAAAATTTTTTTTGCGGTCGTATAAAAATTACTTGATATTTAGAAGAAAATAAAAATTTTGCAATTTTCCATTTATAAAGGGACATAACTCTAGAACGGTAAATTCAAACTTGATCTGTGTTGTGTGGTAATAAGCATTGTGTATAAGTTGCATAACATTTGGTTGAGGCAAACTTAAGTTAGAGAACGGAAACTAAAAATTTTGCAAGGGTAAAACTTAATGGAAACCCCCCTTCCCCCAAAACTTTTTGAATCCCCCTTTTAGCATTAACCATCAAACTCAATTGTAGTCTTTCCTTTGTAGTATGGAACCTTGTAGTACAATTTTAGAGAGATCCATATACTTAATCACAAGTTACTATCTGGAAACTAGAAAAATGCTTTTTTTCAACCATAAAAGCCCATTTAAATACATCATAAAAGTATTAAAATAGAAAATGACATCATAGTCATGTCTAAAATTAAAAAACCTTCATCAGCAACTTTTAATAGTAATATCTAAAAATAAAATTCCTTCATTAGCATTTAAAAGTAACTTCTAAAAAAAATTTGACGGCTAGGACTTTACAACCATAAAAACCCATTTAAATACATCATAAAAGTATTAAAATAGAAAATGACATCATAATCATGCCTAAAATTAAAACACTTTCATCAGCAAAATTAAATAGTAATATCTAAAAATAAAATTCCTTCACATACATAATTATGGCTAAAATTAAATAATTTTTAAAATAGAAAATGACATCATAATCATGCCTAAAATTAAAAAGCCTCCATCAGCAACATTAAATAGTAATATCTAAAAATAAAATTCCTTCACATACATAATCATGGCTATAATCAAATTACCTTTATTAAACATTTTTAAAATAGTAACTTCTAAAAATAAATTGACAGCTAATCACCTAAAGACAATACATTTCTTCATAAATAATTTACAAGCAGTGTAAGGGAGGTAATTTGACAATATGTGTTTGAATTACCTCCCTAACACTGCTTTAAAATCATGTTTTGTACTTAAGTAATTGTCCATTAACGTGGAAAACCTTGTTTTTCCCCTTTTTCGCCCCTAATTCCTAAACAGTTTGAGCCAAAACCCCCAAAGCAAATTCTTACCATCCCTTTGTGATATGGTAACTTGTGGTATAATTTCAGAGAGATCCATACACCATTTCACAAGTTATTGTCTGGAAACTAGAAAAATGCTTATTTGGGCCCCATTTTGGCCCCTAATTCCTGAACTGTTAGGACCATAACCCCAAAAATCAATCCCAACCTTCCTTTTGTGGTCATAAACCTTATGGTAAAATTTCATAGAAATCCATACACTTAAACAATAGTTATTGTCCGGAAACCAATGTGTCTTCGGACGACGATGACGTGATACCAATATACGACCGCAAAATGTTTGCGGTCGTATAAAAAGATAATAAACAAATTTTGTATACAGTATGAGTTTTTCTCATTGTTGAAATCAGTTCATTGACCTTTAGTTGTTCATTTCCTGGTCTTTTGGTATTTCGTGGATAGTTGCTTAATGGCAATCATACCACATCTCTTTATTTCTATGTAGTAAAGATTTACTCATGACAAGATATTGTATGTTTTATTACAATTAAAATCATTGTCACAAAATAAAATCAACAAGAAATTTACAAAACCCTGTGTTGAAGGTACATGCAGACACTTAACATACCAATTAGATGTAACATTTTTCTGTAATTCTATAGAATACATACCCACTAGATATAACATTTTTTTCCGTAATTCTATAAAATACATACCCACTAGATATAACATTTTTTCCGTAATTCTATAGAATACATACCCACTAGATATAACATTTTTCTGTAATTCTATTGAATACATACCCACTAGATATAAAAAAAATTCTGTAATTCTATTGAATACATACCCACTAGATATAACATTTTTCTGTAATTCTGACCTATCAAAAGATGCTAACGCACACAATGCACCATAAGTGGCTACACTACTAGGTGATAATAACTCAGGGAAATCACAATAATCAAAGTTCGCTTGAAGGAAATATTTGGCGGCTGATTTGTATTTCTTTGTAGCCAGATCTGCAAGTCCTGCAGCACACTTTAATTTTGTTAACACTGATTGTCCACCATCTTTTGCATGTGAATGCTGGAAAAGATAACAGACAAATATGTAATGAATAATTTATCAAATATAGATACCTTAGAGTGGCAAAGAATTTGCAACTTCATGATTTGCTTGCCATTAAAATGCAGAACTCAGAAAAAAATATAGTTGTTGTTTGCAAAAAATACATTAAACACTTAAATGGAATAGATCTGATAGTGTACAATTGTTCTGCATCTTTACAAATTATTATATTATCATTACTAGACATATCATTAAGTAGCTTTTATTTTCTTTGCACACAATTAACTAGTACATACTAACCTCTGTCATTTCTGGGGTGCTCTCTGCTTTGTTCACATAACTCTGTACATGGGACCAGTTCTGTAAATATACACTAACCTGTGGAAAGAAAATGATGAATGATAATAGTTTTGTAACCATGTATAATGTAACCAAAAGTGATCATCTAAGATAAACAATAAACATAACATCTCACATTTTTCATACCCCTATGCTAGTGAGGACAAAGGCTCAGTTTTCAAGGTTATGGTTGTTATATTTGCAAATCTAGATTTTTCTCTTTTCTATTCTCCAATTAAGGTCATTGAAGTTACAGTAAATTGGTCATGTCACAGAGTTTTATAAGATTTTGCATACAACTGAAATATGTCAAATATGAACTAAAAATCAAAAACATAATTCATTTATCTCTACTATTTTCTGAAATATGATGCATGAATTGTTTCAAAATAGATGTAGATTTGTATAGAAAGCATGTGTAATTGATGAAAAACATTCTTGAAATCATAAAATTTCCAAAACCAATGCACAGATTTCTCTTCAAAATTGATATACTGTTGCTATATAAATTTGTGTTTGATAGATATAGTAATAAGAGGGTCAACAACTTGGCATTTGATGTAAAAGAACACACTAATGACATCACAAATCAGTTACTACATTGAATTATGTCTATTTTTAGCAAGCATTTTATGTATTTGTATTGTCATCTTATGAAATCACACTGTGAATTAGGTGGACAGTTTACTCTGTTTGCTATAGCTTTCCTTCTGAACCCGTTATCATTTCTTACTTGGTTTCTTACTATCAGACTTTTACTGTGAGCAGTTGGGTGTATGATGAGGGAACATAATTTTTTTTCCAGTTTTATTGAGGTGCTATTTGCCACTTTAAAACACCACCACTTTTCCCTTATTTGGATATTTTGTGTCATTTTTTCACTAAGAACATTACTATAACTGACATATAACCAATGAAGTTTACCTTTATTACATTTAAACACATATTAACCACATGTTTAGGACTGGTACAATAATCTCTAGCTCTGGAGTAACATTTTAATGCATTACTTAAATCTCCACAATCTAAATAATGATCTCCCAAGTCATCGTGGCCTCGTCTGAGATAGAAAGAAATGAACAAATTACTAATGCTCATAAGAGCAGAAAATTTAAAAGGTTAAAAATAGTCAAATATTTTGATCTTTTAAAATATTATAAATAGTCAAATGTACCCAGTAATCTTCATATGTTGTTATGTTGTGAAAAATATACTGATAATTTTTTGTTAGCTTACTGAATGTTATAACATACCATCAAGAATAAAAAACTTTGAAGGCAAAAATTATTCTATTCGTAACAAGGAACCTTTATATCAAAGCATTCCCTCACAGACCAATACAATCCAAATGGATGTTTCTACAAAATGCACACAAGTGACTTTTGATCTTGAAAGTAACTAGGTTGCAAGCTCTTCTTAAAAAGAAGCACAGGATGCTGTTAGATAGTGATTAGATGCTCTAACTTCTCCAAATGTTATGCTGTTAGATAGTGATTAGATGCTCTAACTTCTCCAAATGCTATGCTATTATCAACAAAGCAAAATATCTAATTTTAAAGTCTAAGGTTTGAATAGGCTTTGTATCAACCCAAAACTTCCATATTTGGGGTAAGCATACTTCAACAAGACCACAAGCAGTGGGATGTTGTAAGATAGTGTTTAGATGTAATGGACAGAGGTTGATATAAGATTTTATGAAAGCCAAGACTTCAATTGTTCATTAAGCAGTTTTACAGGCATACAGACATATGGAGGTGTAATACCACCATTGATTTTCCCCTATTAGTCTTTGTTAAAATTGCACTTTTCAAAAAATTGTGCAGATTTTATCTTTGTTTCAAATAAAGAAATACTTGGTATGAATAAAGTTTTATCCTGTCCAGTACTATAGAAAAAATTTCACATATTTCATTGCATATACATGATATAAGAAAATAACCATCACTGGAAGTTAACCAATCAAATTTTCACCCTTTTTCTTCCTGTGTACAAGCTTTAGTAACCATGTAACCTCAAGTTTCCAAAATATTCTATAGAAACTCCAAATAAAATAAATGGGGAATGTGTCCATGGGATACAGATGATGCCTCCGCTTGCATATAACGTTATAAAGGGACAAAACTCAAGAACTGTAAAAGTGACGCTACCCAAAGTTGTACTTGATCTGAATTTTGTGTTAATAAGCATTGTATATACATTTCACAACATTTAGTTGAGGCAAACATAAGTTAGAGAACGGAAACGAAAAATTAAGCAATTTTTCCATTTGTAAAGGGGCATAACTCTAGAACAGTAACAGTGACACTACAAAAATTCAAACTTGATCTGTATTTTGTGGTAATAAGCATTGTGTATAAGTTTCATAACATTTGGTTGAGGCTAACTTAAGTAAGAGAACGGAAACAAAAAAATCAGCAATTTTTCCATTTATAAAGGGGCATTACTCTAGAACGGTTTAAGTGATGCTACTAAAATTCAAACTTGATCTGTGTTTTGTAGTAATAAGCATTGTGTATAAGTTTCATAACATTTGGATGAGGCAAACTAAAGTTAGAGAACGGAAACCAACTTTGGGACGTACGTTCGTACGTACGTACAGACGGACAAGGGTAAAACTTAATGCCCCCTCCCCTACGGCTGGGGCATAAAAATAATGGTGCTTTGAAACACCCAAGATATATGTCTATAACTCAGATATTTTTTACTGCAATGAAAGGTAGGATAAATTTCCTACAACTGTTAAATTCAAGGGAATATTTTTTTTCAACCCTTTTTCGTATACAACCGGATGTGACGTACTATGATTTGGTGGTATTACAACTTGATAGAGATGACATAACGCTTGACAATAAATGGGTTGAGATGTCAAGTATATCCCATCCAACAAATTGTTGTGGTGTGATAAAAATTAGAAAAAATACCCTCTAATTATAATCACACTGTACAGTCAGGGATATAACTCTATAGGGTTATTAGAGAAAATAACATACATTTGTCATTGTGGACTAAAAACTCCAAAAATGTGATATAAACATGACCATACATGTATGGTCCAAATACTCATATGGTCCGGAACATTTATATTCTTTACGGTATGGTTTAATTTGTTTATCTAGTTACTGTATATCATGTAAAACATGTTTCAAAGGGATAATATACCCGGTACATCCTTTGTTTTGTTAAAATGTGTATTGAGTTAAGCTATTTCAATTGTTATTTTATAGTGTGTCTTTCTATGTTGTGATGTTACAATATTGTTTCAGGTAGGGTGAAGGTTGGCGCCTATTAAAAAACCCTGCTGCATTTGTTTGCACCTGTCCTTAGTCAGGAACCTGATGTTCAGTGGTTGTCGTTTGTTGATGTGGTTCATAAGTGTTTCTCGTTTTTTATATAGATTAGACCGTTGGTTTTCCTCTTTGAATGGTTTTACACTAGTCATTTTTGGGGCCCTTTATAGCTTGCTGTTCGGTGTGAGCCAAGGCTCCATGTTGAAGGCCGTACTTTGACCTATAATGGTTTACTTTTACAAATTGTGACTTGGATGGAGAGTTGTCTCATTGGCACTCATACCACATCTTCTTATATCTAAGTTCTGTTGATATTATTATTGTCTTTATGTATACTAAACTTTAAAAAGATATAATAGTTCATAGTTTGCCAATCATGAATAGTACACATGAATAGCAAAAATATGCCTGTAATAACTAAAGGGTGCTATTACAGCTTCTCTACATCACTTCAAAGCCTTTCATACTCAGACATATATCATGCTTAATTATAATGTATTTTGATTTATTGTAAGAAAAAATTATTAGAGCATGTAATAAGGTTCTGCGCATGCTTCCAAATAATTCCTAAGTGTCTCCTATAATAAGTTACATGCCTGTAATAACTAAGACTTGTTATTACAGCTTAGTTTATCGCTTAAAAGCCTTGTTTTATTGATTTAACATGGCTGATAAAAAATGTATTAATTTAATTGGAAAATTAGTTATTAAGGCTATGTATTAAGTTACTGGCAAAGTTTCAAGAATTCCCAAGTGCCCACTAAAAATTAAAATATTTATGATTTATTTAACAAATAACATGAATAACAAACATATGTTACAACAGATTAAGACAATTTTAGGAATTAAAAGAAGACAACTTATGAAAGTATCTGTAATAACACATGTACGACATTTTCTCTAATAACCCTATAGAGTTATATCCCTGACTGCTGTAAGACACTGACCTTATGCTTTCTTTGATGGAATTACTTTTGTAGTTTTTTAGATCTGTATCAAGTTTTTCTAATTTGAGAGCAGCTTTCTTTGACGTTATTTCTATCCACTGTGTATCTAAACCAGGAACATTGTGTACAATACCTGCCACTGCATCTGGTAAACTGGATGATCTAGGATTTAAATAGAATGAACACATATGAAGAAAGGTTATGATGTCATACATGTACATTTTTGAGATTTTCACTCCACTTTAGCTCAAACATGAAAACCTTTGTGAAGGAGAAGGCTACTTTTTTGCCCCTTGAATTTGAATATCAAAAAGTTTTATAAATCTACCAAATAACATCCTTCAGGTTTTCATTTAATCTGACATTTATCAGTATTTATAGTTTTGAATTTTGTCTCACATCTTTGCAATAAGGCTTCAAACTTCTTGAAATTAGTGCAAAAAAAAATGTGCTGAAAGTTCCATTTTGAGATACATGTACTGTCATCAATTCTTAAATATGAGAAAATGCTTTACCCAAAATGATATTTTGCTACAAAATGTATTTTAAAGAAATGGTGTGTAAAATACCCAAAAGTGTAATTTGTATATTAATAAATGAAAACAATTATGGCAGGCAAACAACCACAAGCACAACCACTGGACTATCAGCTCCTGCTGGAGTTTCAATCAGCACAACCACTGGACTACCAGCTCCTGCAGGAGTTTCAATCAGCACTGTCACAGGTTAGGGACTTCCACTTTTACTTGTTAAAAAACAGTAGGTTTCAAAGAATAAGGGACAGATAAACCTTAATGATCAAAAGCAAGATTTCGACAAAAGATTAAAAATTCCACAGGGACAAGCATGAACAAATCTTTTTTGCAAATACATTGCCCATGGTTGGATTATTACAAAACGTCTGACTTAGTGTAGGGAAATCAATGATGGAAAGTGAACTACAAGTAGTTAAAGGAAATATTTTTGTCATGGTTGATTAAATAAAATTCAAGAAACAACCACTCAACCAGCATCTGTTATGGGCCAAACCTTAATTTTTTTCAAAGTAAATTTGAATCCCTGCTCCTGACTCTAGTACAAAATCTTTTGTGAAGTTGAAGTTGAAAATGTAATTGTAACAACTCATGACCTGTAGCACAAATATACTAAAAAAGAGAGGCGAAAGATACCAAAAAGACATTCAAACTCATAAGTCAAAAATAAACTGACAATGCCATTGCTAAAAAAGAAAAGACCAACAGACAACAGTACACAAAACTCCACATAGAAAACTAAAGACTGAGCAACACAAATCCCACCAAAAACTGGGGTGATCTCAGGTGCTCCAGAAGGGTAAGCAGATCCTGCTCCACATGTGACACCTGTATTGTTGCTCATATAAGTACAAACCCAGTGATATATCTAATTCGGTAGGTCACATTCGGGGCGTAACCTGTGAAACAGATATTCAATAACGGTCAACCAACTCGTGATGGCATCCATAAAACTTTACGAAGGGATGGTTTCAACTTCATCACTTGGAACTTTTGGTTTAATAGCTTCCTTGTGAGCAGCAAACCTCTTTCAAGGAATTCGAAATCATGATAGGAAATACAAGCCCTGGAATATCCAATCAAGTGGGAGATATATACTTCGTATGCAGGCACATATATACTAACAGTCAGAGTAAATACATGTAGAAACTTCTTAATTCAGCACAATAAATTTGCTAATGAACAATTTATATGAAGTACTGTCTGTTGTGACACCATTGCTGATAAATGCCTTTATACTTACGAAGATACTGCCTCTTGGAGCTTTCTATGGACTTGCTGATAAAGATTTGTATTGTATGTTGTGAGGACATAAGACAAAGCCATTCTAAGTGCTTCAACCTTTAATGGTGGACAGTGATCAGATATAAATAGTAATCTATTAAGCTTGGCTAATCCTGAATACTGACTGGCATACTGCTCTAAATCCTGGAAAATATAACAAAGAGATATGTATATTACATGTGTTTAATTTATCTGGTTTACAGATTATGATTTTGTTTTTACTTCAGAACGGTAAACCTTGCATTCCATAAGTGCGTAGTAGTACTAGATATTGTTATAGCTGATGTTACTTAATAGTTTTCTTTAATAGGCAAATATATACTATAACAAAATGCTTGATACGTCCGCAGAGGTCGAACCATGAACAGTTCGGGCAAGTATGGACACAACATTTGATCTTGATACAGCTCTGAATTTTGGATTGTAATTAAATATTTAAGACAGCATAGGTTTCTTAAACAGAATGAATGTGGTCAAAGAACTGAAAAAAATTTGAAATTGGACTTCTAACTATTATGATCCCATATCCAAAATCTAAATACATAGTTGAATTCAGCATATCCAAGTAAACCAAGAATTTATTCATTTATTAATTGACAATATTAGCTAAGTTTTTAAAGGGGTTCACTTCATCAGATAAAAAATATATATAGCAATCTAAGAGTTAATCTATTCAGAATAACAAACAAACTACCATCAAAAAATTTACAAAAAATATGAAAAAAAAAAACAATTTCCAAAATATCATTCCTCATGAATAAAATTTGTAAGGGGTTCCAAGGAACACTGTGTCTCGCCTACAATTGCTGCTATCAGTGGAAAAGCGTATTGTTGACTTAAAATGTGAGTCCATTTATCAGTAAAATACAGAATATAAAAAAAATTCAAACTTTTCTTTAGATGCTATATCTTGGTCGTGAAGATTAGCTTCTGTCCAAGTTTCATAACAATCCATGAAGGTTTACAAACTTATCATGTCAAAATAATTGAATCCCAAACAACAAAGTTTAATTTTGGACCCAATGTTGACCAACTTGAAAACTAGGCCCAAAATCAACAAGAGGCTGTCAGAGTGACAGCAAACCAGATTTCCTGCAGAGGTTGATCCCTGAACAGTTGAGCAAGTATGGACACTACATTTAAGCTTAAAACAGCTCTGAATTTGGATTGTGATTGAATATTTGACACAGCATAGGTTTGTGACACAAAATGAATGTGGTCAAAGAACTGAAAAATTTGAAATTGGACATTTATCTATTATGGTCCAATATCCAAAATCTAAGTACATTGTTAGAAGCAGCATATCAAAGATCCCCAAGAATTCAATTTTTGATGAAATCAAACAAAAGTTTAATTTAGGACCCTTTGGACCTCAATGTGGACCAATTTGATAAAGGAGTCCACAATCCAAAATCTCTAAATACATGGTTAGATTCAGCATTTCGAAGAACCCCATAAATTCAATTTTTGTTGAATCAAACAAAGTTTAATTTTGGACCCTGATTTGGACCAACTTGAAAACTGGGCCCAAAAATCTAATATTCAAATACAGGTTTAGATTCAGCATTTGAAAGAACCCTATATATATTTAATTTATGTTGAAATGAAACACAGTTTAATTTTATCCATATAATTTTCTGTTCAAAGGGAAATAACTCAAACTGAATAAATGTTAAACACATAGTGATATGATTTAATCACTACAAAATAGTTCTTTAAAATTAGATATGATGTTACACAATGTATATCTATTTTCAAATTATAATCAAATATAATTGATAGTTCCAAATATTTTTTCTTTCATTTGTCACAAACTAATATAGATCTGAAACTTATCTATCAATGTCAACAAATTTATCTACACAATGTAATGTAATGAAATATATCCTTTAATAAAAATAGATTATGATCTAATTAAAGGAGTCCACTTCATCAAAAAAAAAAATTATATATATAGCATCCAGAAAATTAGTTTATACAGAATAACAAACAAACCTATCACAAAATTCTTCAAACAATTTACCAAAGAAAAGAAAAAAAATCCAAAATTTCATTTATCACTAATACAATGTCTTTTAAAAATCTTTTAAAAAGTGAGTTATTTCCCTTTCAACAGAAATAGAGTAATTATTAAGTATTTCATCAAAAATTTAATCCTTGGGAAAGGGCTATAACTCAACAACGAAAAAAGCTAAAATCGTGAAAATTGAACTTGACCTTCATTTAGTTACAGGAAACAATATATCTAAATTTGAAAAAATTTCGTCAAAGGGTTTCATGTTAATGAACGGACACCGTTTGGCAGCCGCCACCTGCCGTACATCCCCAAATCAATACCAATTTTTCCTTCAAAAATCTGGTTGATAAAATTGAAAAAAATGATGATTTCCTGTTATTTGATACAGAAAGAATCCCTTAAATAAATCCTGAATCAATCGTAATGCAGTATTAACTTGAAACTTCTGTTTTTTTCTTCTTCTTTAAAATCTAAAGAAACTTTAGAGATTCCTGCGAAATTTACCGTTTTTTAGTCATTAAAATCAATTCAGTTTTAAACTGTTGCATTCCATAAATCATTTTTGAACACATTAGAAACTTCATGAAGTTAATGCAAAGAAACCATTCAATAAAAGTTCGTTGATGCCATGAATCTAGAGGGTCGAATTTTGACAAGTTTGAAAAGAAGACCTGAACTTTCATCCACTTCATTTGAACTTGGGTGGATAGTTGTCTCATTGGCAATCATACCACATCTTCTTATTTTTATATCTCAAGTCATCTCATAATGACTGAAATTGTGTGAAAAAGTTTCCTGATCCCGGGAGCTTGGAATATTATTTTCAAATGTTCAAGCCAAACATATCCATGTACAATAATCATATTTCATATGTATAATATAACTATCTTAAGCAAATAAGGATTAATCATATAACAAGGATTGCATTGATCATATAGTAATACAGATTAATTCTTCATCACTATCATGTTAAAATTGTTATGCATGGTTCAATTTGTTAAGTAGGCTATGGAGTTAATGATAAAGATGACCTAAAACAAAAATTCCCTACAAGACAGAATATTCTAATGACAAAGACATCTTGTCCATAGGACTCATGGATAAGTCTTAACTTAAAAGTCTTTCGAATTCAGTATCACTGTATGCATGTAATAAAGCTTATGCTTAAAGCATGCAACTTTTAAATATATAAAAATAAACTGCTTCGCCTAGCGCAGCTGGATACGACAGCAGAGGTCCAACCCTGAACAGTTGGGGCAAAAATGGACACAATATTCAAGCTTGATACAGGTCTGAATTGGATTATAATTAAATATTTCACTCATTATAGGTTTCTGACACAGAATAAATGTAGTCAAAGAACTTGAAATTGGTTATATGATTTGAATTTATATTCATTTGAAGATTTCTTGCTTTTGTGCAATACACTGTGCTGTTGCGCAATACTTAGCAAATCTGTTTTCAGACTAAAGAATTAGCAAAATAAATTGTGACCCCCAATTTTTCTGTGGAAAATTGACAATTTCTTAAATCTTGAGGAAAAAAAATTGACCCCCCTAAAAAAAAATAATATCTGAAGAAATCTTTTTAATTTCTTAAATCTTGAGGGAAAGAAATTGCCCCCCTCCCAAAATTTTCTTTTGCCTCCCCCCCCCCCCCCCACCAAGTTTTAGACCCTTTTTGGCCCCTAATTTCTGAACGGTTTGGGCAACTACCCCCAAAATGAATCCCAATCTTTTACTTGTAGTATTGAACCTTGTGGTACAATTTCAGAGCAATCACAATACTTATACACAAGTTATTGTCCTGAAACTAGAAAAATGCTTGTTTCCGGCCCCTAATTCCTAAACGGTTGGGACCATCACCCCAAAAAATAATCCCAACCTTCCTTTTGTGGTATTGAACCTTATGTTTAAATTTCATAGAGATCCATACACATAAAAGTTATTGTCCAGAAACCAAATGTCTTCAGACGACGACGACGTGATAGCATTATACGACCCCAAAATTTGTTTGCGGTCGTATAAAACATCAGTCACTAATGTAAAGGTACATTGTGTACATGTACATGAAGTACATTATAGATGATCATGATGATAATAAATGAGATATAATCAATTAGACAAATAATGTATTGGTGGACTAGTTTACTTACTATAGAAGAATTTTCAACAACAAACTGATCTTCCTCTACATTATCATTTTCTTCCACCTGTCCATCTACCTGCATTGGTTCTGCAGCTCCCTAAATTGAAGGAATGTCATTTACATTTATGTTTTGAATAGACCTAAAATATTTCTATAACTGTTATCCAAGCTCATTTATTATAGGCCACTTCTTCATTTTAAATTTCGTCTGTTTCCAACCTACCAAATCCTGATGATTTCGACAGTTCCAGAATAAAATTTTGAACATCTAGTTTGTTAGAGCAAGTAACAGAGAGTAGGACTCTGTGCATCTTACTTACACTGCAACTAACAGGATAAAAACATTACGGAGATACAAGTAGTCATGAACAATGAAAATATATTCAAGAAACCAAATTGCGATTATTATTAAATGTTCAAAAATATTTTATTCTTGATTTGGGGGAAAACAACAAGTCTATAACAATTAATAACTTATAGTAGTGGTCAAGTTTCTAGAAAGTTGCTACATGTACATTGTACTTGTATTCAAAAGTTGAATTTTCCAATATTCTCTCAATAAAACACAACTTTTTTTTTGCATATTAAATGTATATATGTTACAGTGAATATGTAACATCAGGGATTATGTAGACAAAATTAATCTTTCTTTATTATAAACTGCCCATAATCAACATGTTGTTTTATTTTACAAGATTTGCATGATTGAAACCAATATTGCAGTAACTGTTAATATGGGGACAAAGTTCCCAATTACAGTAGAAAAATCAATAAAAAAAAAATATATACCAGCTAACTTTGTTTGTCACAGGACTTTGCATAAAATGTACGAAGGTGCATCATATTGTTTCCCGCAAATTTGTTGTTTTTGATTACCGAAAGAATACTGCCAGTTAAACAGTTAAAATAAATTCCTTACATTTAAAAATGAGTCTGGAGCTCATTCAACATACGATTTTATAGCAAACAAAATGTGTTCTCTTGGGAAAATCACCTGATTAATCAGTCAGATTTCAGTATCTGATAAGAATAACAAGCCTACTTGGTATCTTCATCGTTTAAAGATATAAATCATAACAATTTCAGTGATGCAGCTAATCGTCGGACCTGTCGGACCTAGGGCGCAGAATTTTAGTGGGTTAGGCAAACGACGTCTTCATGTCAGACCCAATAACTGGCAAATATTTTTACTGTTTAGGGCCGTCAAAATTGAGATTTCTGTTGGTCCTTGTAACCTTGGCTTCCAAATTAATAATGTACATGTAGTTGAAAGGCATTGAAAACCAAAAGTTCAAATGAAAATATTTATTGCCGGTAATACATGTAGGTAAACGTGCTGATGTAAACAGATTTCGATCTTCTCTGCGTTTATCCAATTAGCGTAAGTCATGTGATCACAGTTATTTTTCGAATTTCTCCGGATTTATTATTACACATAGCAAGGAAAACAAAAGAAAATTTCAAGTAAAAAATTGAGTAGAAGCATGTTTTCAGCTTCTTTTTGATAGGTGAGGGATAATTCTGATGATTACAAGACTCAGCAAGTGTATTCCACACACCAGCACCTCATAAGAAACATTTATGCCATGTTTTGGTTTCATTCCATTCAGTGCACCTCTAGAAGAAGCATTTGTATGTATTTCCCATAGGGTCTTATGTTAAAGGAAGTCCCCCCATTGGCGGCCATCATGGATGAAGGATCAGCTTCAAAGTAACAAAACTTAGTCAGCACCTCATAAGGAACATTCATGCCATGTTTGGTTTCAATCCATTCAGTATGTGGTTCTCTAAAAGAAGACATTTGTATGTATTGTCCATAGGGTCCTTTGTTAAACATTGTCCCCATCTGGCAGCCATCATGGATGAAGGATCAGCTTCAAAGTAACAACACTTGGTCAGCACCTCAAAAGGTACATGCATGCCATGTTTGGTTTCATTGCATTCAGTGGTTCTCTAAAAGAAGACATTTGTATGTATTTCCCATAGGGTCCTATGTTAAACTAAGTCCCCCGCTGGCTGCCATCTTGGATGATGGATCAGCTTCAAAGTAACAACACTTGGTCAGCACCTCATAAGAAACATTCATGCCATGTTTGGTTTCATTCCATTCAGTGGTTCTCTAAAAGAAGACATTTGTATGTATTTCCCATAGGGTCCCATGTTAAACTAAGTCCCCCGCTGGAGGCCATCTTGGATTATGGATCGGCTTCAAAGTAACAACACTTGGTCAGCACCTCATAAGAAACATTCATGCCATGTTTGGTTTCATTCCATTCAGTGGTTCTCTAAAAGAAGACATTGGTATGTATTTCCCATAGGGTCCAATGTTAAACTAAGTCCCCTGCTGCCGCCATCTTGGATTATGGATCAGCTTCATAGTAACAACACTTGGTCAGCACCTCAAAAGGAACATTCATAGCATGTTTGGTTTCATTCCATTCAGTGGTTCTCTAAAAGAAGACATTTGTATGTATTTCCCATAGGGTCCCATGTTAAACTAAGTCCCCCGCTGGCGGCCATCTTGGATTATGGATCGGCTTCACAGTAACAACACTCGGTCAGCACCTCATAAGGAACATTCAGACCATGTTTGGTTTCATTCCATTTAATGGTTCTCTAAAAGAAGACATTTGTATGTATTTCCCATAGGGTCCTATGTTAAACTAAGTCCCCCGCTGGCGGCCATCTTGGATTATGGATCGGCTTCAAAGTAACAACACTCGGTCAGCACCTCATAAGAAACATTCATGCCATGTTTGGTTTCATTCCATTCAGTGGTTCTCTAAAAGAAGACATTTAAAATTGAGAATGGAAATGGGGAATGTGTCAAAGAGACAACAACCCGACCATAGAACAGACAACAGCAGAAGGTCACCAACAGGTCTTCAATGCAGCGAGAAATTCCCGCACCCGGAGGCGTCCTTCAGCTGGCCCCTAAACAAATATATATACTAGTTCAGTGATAATGAACGCCATACTAAACTCCAAATTGTACACAAGAAACTAAAATTAATAAAATGCTTCGCTGGGCGCAGCTTGATACGACCGCAGAGGTCGAACCCTGAACAGTTGGGGCAAGTATGGACACAACATTCAAGCTTGATACAGCTCTGAATTTGGATTGTGATTAAATATTTGACACAGCATAGGTTTCTGACACAGAAAGAATGTGGTCTAAGAACTTCAATTTTTTTAATTTACCTATTATGGTCCAATGTCCAAAATCAAAATACATGGCTAGATTCAGCATATCAAAGAACCCCATATATTCAATTTTTGTTGAAATCAAACAAAGTTTAATTTTGGACCCCAACTTGGACAAACTTGAAAACTGGTCCCATAATCAAAAATCTAAACACATGTTTAGATTCAGCATATCAAAGTACCCCAAGAATTCAATTTTTGTTAAAATCAAACTAAGTTTAATTTTGGACCCTTTGGACCTTAATGTAGACCAATTTGAAAACGGAACCAAAAATTAAGAATCTAAATACACGGTTAGATTCGGCATATCAAAGAACCCCAATAATTCAATTTTTGATGAAATCAAACAAAGTTAAATTTTGGACCCTTTGGACCTCAATGTGGACCAATTTAAAAACGGGGCCCAAAATCCAAAAACTTAATACACGGTTAGATTCAGCATATCAAAGAACCCCAAGAATTCAAGAATAAAACCCCATTGAAATTGATCAAGAAATAAGCAATTTATACGAAGTATCTTCTTTTGCACAATACTGTGCAATTGAATATTTCTTGCTATTGTGCAATACTGTACAATTGACAATTTCTTGCTATTGCGCAATATTGTGCTTTTGGATATTTCTTGCTATTGCGCAATACTGTGCAATTGAAGATTTCTTGCTATTGCGCAATACTGTGCAATTGAAGATTTCTTGCAATTGCGCAATACTGTGCAATTGAAAATTTCTTGCTATTGCACAATACTTATTATATAATAATTTACACATCCTGTTTGGTGTGTATCTCCTACCATATCATTATTATTTGCTTTTAAATATTAATCAGAAATAACCAACTTAAAATGGAAAATTTTAAAAGAAAAAAATAAAATGCTCCGCAGGGCGCAGCTTGATACGACCGCAGAGGTCGAACCCTGAACAGTTGGGGCAAGTATGGACACAACATTCAAGCTTGATACAGCTCTGAATTTGGATTGTGATTAAATATTTGACACAGCATAGGTTTCTGACACAGAATGAATGTGGTCTAAGAACTTAAAAATTTTAAATTGGACATTCACCTATTATGGTCCAATATCCAAAATCTAAATACATGGTTAGATTCAGCATATCAAAGAACCCCAAGAATTCAATTTTTGATGAAATCAAACAAAGTTTAATTTTGGACCCTTTTGATCTCAATGTGGACAAAAATGATAACAGGGCCCAAAAATCAAAAATCTAAATACATGGTTAGATTCAGCATATCAAAGAACCCCATATATTCAATTTTTGTTGAAATCAAACAAAGTTTAATTTTGGACCCCGATTTGGACCAACTTGAAAACTGGGCCCATAATCAAAAATCTAAATACATGGTTAGATTCAGCATATCAAAGAACCCCATATATTCAATTTTTGTTGAAATCAAACAAAGTTTAATTTTGGACCACGATTTGGACCAACTTGAAAACTGGGCCCATAATCAAAAATCTAAATACATGGTTAGATTCAGCATATCAAAGAACCCCATATATTCAATTTTTGATGAAATCAAACAAAGTTTAATTTTGGACCCTTTTGATCTCAATGTGGACAAAGTTGATAACGGGGCCCAACAATCAAAAATCTAAATACATGGTTATATTCAGCATATCAAAGAACCCCATATATTCATTTTTTGTTGAAATCAAACAAAGTTTAATTTTGGACCCCGATTTGGACCAACTTGAAAACTGGGCCCATAATCAAAAATCTAAATACATGGTTAGATTCAGCATATCAAAGAACCCCATATATTCAATTTTTGTTGAAATCAAACAAAGTTTAATTTTGGACCCCGATTTGGACCAACTTGAAAACTGGGCCCATAATCAAAAATCTAAATACATGGTTAGATTCAGCATATCAAAGA